TACAATTCTGGAAAGATTGCTTCTTTGCTTTTTCGGCTTAATTTTTGAGAGTCCAACAAAATGAAGAAATCCTAATGCCTTCTTTCCCAATTGCTAAATATAAATAAAAGGTTTTTTTGTCGAAGTCAGGCATTGGACATTTTTTTAAAGTTTAAAATGCAAATAAGCCTTATTTTCACAAGTCCTAATTTCTAACGGAAGTGGAATAAAGGAATCAGTGCTCATCTGGACTTTCGTCCACAGCATTCCCACGATTTTTGATTCTAAAATATAAGAAATGCATCAAGGTTTTTAAGCATTTCTGAAAAATGGATCGGATTTCGTCGCTTTGAATGGCCAAAAATGAAGATCTCTTCCCCCCGCGATCAAAAAGCGTTTCGAGATAATTTTTCATCCCAGGGTAGATTTCATCTCGGAGCGGACGCGGAAAAGCGGTACAATGAATAAGGAAATCGGATTTCATGCCTTAAGCCTTGTCTGGCTCGAAATCCAGGATCTCCTCATGGCTGAGGGCCCGACATGATTAATTTTCCCTCGTTCGGAAAGCTTTTCGAGGAACGTTGAATTTGCCATCTTCTGAAATCCTCGACCGTCTTACTGCAAAAAATGTTTGGTCCCCGCGGATTGGAATTTCCGAAAAATACTGCGAATTTTTGGAACGATTATGAGGAAAAACGGAGACCGAAGAAAAAAATCTAGGCGAAAAAAAGTGAGAAGAAAAATAAACAATTGCTCTATACTGAATCACGTTAGTGTAACTCATCATATTTATATATTTTTCAATTGTTGTTTGATGTTGGAAATGTAATGTACTGTCCATTGAAGAACTCTCTTTGCATAAATAATTTTATGTTTTTAATGAGTGCTCAAAATATCCCAAATTATAAAATCAAATTCAATATTCCGCTAATTACAATGAAACAAAAACGTTCATTAGCATTCTCTAGCTGAAAACATCATGTGCTTCAACCTGCGTGTACGAAAAAAATGCAGTACGATGCACCCGAGAAAAAACGAGATAACATCAGCAACATTTTAATGCACTGAAAAAGTTGGTCAACTAATCAATGCTTTTCTAATCAATGATTTTCCTCCTGAAACGAACAATAACGACAAATTGATGCATAATTGTCAGTTTCATTCTTGGGTTTGTGGAAATGCATTTTTGACTCAAAAGTCACTCGACCCCCAATTCATTTTTCGTTCACGTACAAAAAAAAATTGTTTGAGTAGCGGTATGGTTTTCAGTGAAGCTTTGACTGCACTAAAAATAATTTTTTTTTGCTCGTAGATTTTTTAAAAAGCGTTTTTCATTGTTGCGTCAAGCTGATTATGCAACAACATTAAAATGAGTTCAATTACAACACTATTGTTGCGGGCTAGTAAGTAATCTAGCTCAAAATCGAAGCAATACATTTTAATTAAATGCAGTGTCATAATTGAAGAATTAAACCGGTGTTGATTCTAAGGCAAAAAAAATTTATATCGTTGATCTGCCACATAGAAGTTCGTTTATTTATGACATTGATCATTTGGTTGTGTCAGACAGTTTTAGTGCTAAACAAAAATGAGGAGTAGTAATGTCCTAGTAATAAATTATTTTATGCGAGATATTCCAGAGTGATCTGATTAGGGTAAGTTGTTTGAATAATGTCTTGAGATTTTCTTGCAATCATGTAACCATGCTTCTGTCCAGGGCTGAATGAGCTTTTCCCCTTCTTATTCTTATTGGATTCAATTCGAAGCAATTATTATTTTCAGACATACTTCCCGAAGATTTTAACTTGCGCATAGATTCCCCTTTTTTATTTTTTATTGCATAAAAATGATTTCGTAGTCAACATCGCATTCAAGGATGGAATTAAATGGTGCGAAACGGGTCCTTGGGTCTGTTTATTCCCGGGTCTTCGTGACCCAGCTCCACAAAGTGCTCCATGACCTCACAAATCTTCGACCCGATTCGAAAAACCCCATTGAGAATGTCCCTTGTGAGAATGACCTTTTTTGAAGTATTTTTCACGGGGTTTAGCTTTCCAGGAAGCGGTTGTTTTGATGGGATGCTGTGAACTCCATCGTTTTCTCTTGTGTATACGGTAGCTTCCCTCGGAACAAACTTCGTGTTTTCATACCCCCGGATTTCCGCCGAGGCGAACAAATTTCTTGGATCACAATAAGTATCCTTGTGAGCTAGAAACAGGTAGACGAGGTCCCATCTGCGACCTGCTTTTCTCGACTCGAAATTTCTATTCAGGATGCGACTGATCCTGTCCGGATTTAGAAACTGTCGTAGCAACACGTTTAAAAAGTGCGTTATCGAAACTTTGGGTCCAATACGGTACAGTATACAGTATTTGGTACATGATGGTATGCAATGGAAAATTAAATTTTACATGAATCCGGGTTTAAATGGGTGCCATCAGGCATTCAAATGGCGTTATAGGGTACGGTAATATTTCTCATTTATCCAGACTGATGAACTGCGCATCTTGTTGTTGTTCTCCGGGTTATTAAAGGAGGAAACTTGAACCAAATGCCACCTTCGTCAGAGGAAACATAAATGACGTTTATTCCTTTCAACCTTCCGGCTTTCAGTGAGCCGCTTTAATGATCTCAAATTGAACTGAATATTTTAAACGCAGATCCATGCAAAACAAAGTCAACACTAACAAAATGCAAGATACAGTATAAGAAAATCTTGGAGCACAATCTCGTGAGAAGCAAGTCAGGCAACAGAGACAAATAATTAAACAGTATATGGGAGTTTCAAACAAAAGTTCATGATGGCTTCCGGGAATTGTGTTGCTCCGCGAAATATTGCAAGAATATGTCGGCAATCGGCATCAAAATTTCACAACCGTAATTAAGGTTATTTCATCATGCTTGAATAATTTTTATTTTATTTTTGATCATTCGTGAGATTTGATTGACCGGATAGAGGAAACCCGAGTTATTCTGTCTTAACACAAAGGGATTCCGATGAAAAAAAAACGCATTTTTCTTGAAACTGCTCTTAAGAAATTTGCCGATTGCCCAAAATTTTGACTAAACGGAGCTATTGTAAGCAATTGATTTCATTTAAGATGATAAAATAACGAAATCAAAGGGGAACACGTGAAAAAATCAAATGACGAGAATATCTAATCAACGTATAAATAAATAACCAGTAATGCTTTCAGCATCCTGGGATTCTTTCATGCATTAGTATAACGTATAGTGGCATAAGACCTTGTTTTCAACTTTTAAATGCTCATTTCTAAGTTTGTTGAATTCTCCTCTCGATGGAAGTATTTAAAAAGAAATACCGGGTGCAGCTCGATTTTTATAAAAATGTTAGGCTGGAAAATTCAGGTTAGAGTCTTAATTGAGGGTGTTCGGTGCTTTTGTAAACATAATATTTATTGTAGATGATCTTCAAATCAAAACAATGAGTGACTAAATTAGGCATATTTGCCTTTGCTTTGAAATCCAGGAACCTGTAAACTCATTTATCCAGTAGTTTAATTCCCAAAAGACCACCAATTTTACCTTCTTTTAATTTTTTCAAACATATTTTCCACAAAATGCTAGTTTCTTCAAGCTAGTTTCTCCCCAAGTCTAATAGTTTTGGTCCCTTTGATGAGTGTGACATAAGAATGTTAAACTGTAGTGACTTGCACATAAAGATAAATTTCCTCACGAGAAAACTTATTCTGGGACAATTTAATTTTGAAAAGGATGGAACTATCGTACTGTACATGTAGACACCACCTGAACAAACATACGGTATGCAACCGTTTTTAACACGTCATCAGCTGGAAAATAAGGTAGAAATGTT